GCAGGGGGTTCCAGACTCAAGTCAACAGCCTGAAAACTAAGCCAGCAGCGCCTTTCACACGAGAACCAGCATCTCCCCGCTAGCGCCTACCCTCCTCCCCCAGAGCCTGTAAATTCAGTCCCGGCTCATCCGTGCGGTGGGACCTAATCCCCAGGGTGGGAAGGTCCGTGGGGCTTCCTGGCCGCGGCCGGACTGTCTGATGAAAACCATCTGAGCCTGAAAAACCACATGTTTGTCTTTGCTCCATTTGTCCCGCAGCCCAGGGATTTCTTCTGGAGTGGCCACTGCCCCCAGGCTCTTCCCCTGTTTATTTGCTTTGGTTGGTTTCCCACAGCTGGTGGACGGAGGAAGCAGTTAGGCCACGGGCTGGTTGGCTGGAAAAATGTCGGCTACAGCCGATGAGAGCTGGCCCGAGGAGTGCCGGGCTTTGGGAAATGCTAAAAGGAAGACAAAGGAACAAAGCAAAAACACTTTCCTCCGTGGCCCGTCTCTGGTGCCTCACGTCCCTTTTAGACTTTCATTCCTTTGGGTTAAATATTGACCCTGGCTCATTGAAAAGGCCAGTGGCTAATACGTTTAATCATTAAACGTAATGATTTTGCCACCTTGCTGAAAAGTCAAAAGCTTCCCAAATAGAGACCAAGAGAAATCTTCTAGTTCAACCAGCCAGAACCATCTCCCCGAAAAGGTCTTGTTCCCACCACTGGATCTTGTTCAGCCTTCTCTCCGCCTCTCAAGCCCTCTCTTCCCACCCACTTCACCCAATCTTGACCACCATTCAAAGCCCAGCTCAGTGCTGCCTCCTCTCTGGCCTGCTGTGAATTACATGTACCATTCCTCTCACTTGTCCAGTTTCATCTGGATTAGGGAGCTGGAGATTTACGCAAAATCCTTCTCTGCTGACCAAGAGTTAGGTCTTGCACAAGCCACAGTCCATGTGAGCCCTGGTTTCCGTAGCTGTAAACGGGAATAGAGAGTCCACTTCGCAGGAATGTTCTGGGGGTTAACTGAGACACAAGTGTTTATGGCTGGTCTCCCCTCTGGAGAGTAAAGTGCACCCCAGGGGGGGACTTGGTCTATTTTCTTTTCTCTGTTCCTCCAGCCCTGGAACAGAGCCGGCACATGGCAGCCACTCGGTACTTTAAAACCAATGAATGAAAAACAGCCAACATTGATTGCTTTTTAGGGTCAGAAACTCCTCTGAACTTTTCCCATGTTTTATTGCATGGACTAGAAGGAACTAATCTAAGAAAATGTAAGCTACTTTTAGGTTGCCAGGGCCTCAAGGGCAAATAACGTGCTTATGTTCCTCGTGGCCACTCAGTCAGTATTAGTTGCAAGATGGATCGAAGGAAAGAATACTTGAATCAGAGTTAATTTGCCAGGCTGCCTTCCACCATAACCTAATGGACAAAGCAGCTGGCAGCAGAAGGTCCTGGACCACAGGTTTTGTTTGGGGGAGGGGAGCGAGTGAGTCTGAAAACTTCCTGCCTCAGAAATCTGGCCATGGCTGGCCGGTTGATCTTTGGCCTTGGTTTCCCACGGACCTTGGTCCCTCCTGGACACCCACTTTGGTGCTGAGGTCAGGAAGCAGAACAGCGACGACCAGGCCTTGGGGTGGGGAGTGGGGGTGAGGAGGAGACTAGTTCAATGAGAAGTCTGGAAATGTCTGGGCCGCAAGGCTTAGTGGTTGAGCGTTGACCTATGAACTAGGAGGTCAGGGTTCGATTCCTGGTCAGGACACATGCCCGGATTGTAGGCCCAATCCCCAGCCAATCAGTGCTTCTCTCTCATCATTGATGTTTCTATCGCTCTCTCTCTTCTTCTCTGAAATTTATAAAAATATATGTACTTTTAAAAAGCCCAGAAGTCAACAGGCTAGTGCCGTGGTCGGCAACCTTGGCTAGCGAGCCACATGCGGCTCTTTGGCCCCTTGAGTTTTTAACCAAAGGCCAGCTTAGGAGAACCCTAATTAAGTTAATAACAATGTACCTACCATATGGTTTAAGTTTAAAAAATTTGTCTCTCCAAAGAAATTTCAATCGTTGTACTGTTGACATTTGTCTCTGTTGACTAATGAGTTTGCCGACCACGGGGCTAGGGGGCCTGGGTCCTGATCTCCAAGGCTAGTCCAGGAATCTGAGTCTTGATTTTTCCTGGAATCAAGGATGAAAATGCCAACCGCCAGGGCCCACAGGCAGCTCTTTGGGATTCTATGGAGGATCATGATGAACTTGTGTGGAATTTTCTCCCCGGGGAACGTCAGGGGTCGGGGTGTGTTACTTGTCAGAGGAGGTCGGAATGCTCTGCAGGGCTAATGGGTCTCTCTGCCTAACGGGAAATGCCCACGGGATGTGTTGGGGTGGGGGTGGGGTTGTCCCTTCAGTTGTGTAATTAGATTTCTGGGTAAAGAGCGTTGGCTCAGGAATCCAAAGCGAAGGAAGAGCAAGAGGGACTCCGTGGAGAGAGCGTGGCTGAAGGGGCCTTGGCGGTCCTGCTGGACAGCGGGTCATCTCAGCTGCTGCCCAGCCTGAGTGGGGACAGAGTGGCTCCCCGCTTCCCGGGAGCTTCCTTTACAGGAAGGCGCAGGGGCTCCTGTCTCTCCTTCTCTCCTGACTGGTTGCCGAGGATCCTGGAGAAACGCGGGAGACTGGAATACAAAGCCAGGGCCCAGGACTTTGCCAAGAAGCGTTGTTCTCCTGCTGACACAGGCCGGTTCCGGCTTTTGGCTCCACCAGGTGTGGAATGAATGAAGGAAACCTGGGCTAGCAGTGGACCTCACAAACCTCATCTCCTGGGCAGGGACTGCAACGCCAGGCCGGCCTAGAAGAATCAACAGGGCTCACCCGGTGCCCAGTCTTGACAAAGCCCTTCCTTTTCTAGACCACGAGAGCCAACCTTCCCCAAGTAAGGGCCGTGGGATAACTCGCTGAGCAGCCACCGCCTTCTGCTCCCTGTGCCCCTCTCTGCCCACCCCCAGCTCCGTCTCTAGCAGAGAGCCAACCCCTTCAGAGAGGAACCTGCAGGGCAGACAACAGAATGCCTTTACATCAGTGGTTTTACACTCACGGAAGAGGCTTCCCCAGATGTCCTGAGGAGGAGAGAGAAGTGGGGACACAGTTGAATAAGTGAGGGTCTCACTCCACCTCCACTCCCGCATTCCCAGTAAATCAACAGCTCCTGGTTTCTCCAATTTTCTGTCTTAACCAGCATGTTATTTCAGCACCAGGGGCCCAGGCAAGGGCGGGGCCTGGGGCTCATTTTTCTGGTCTCAGATGTCAGCTGGGCAACAATAAGAGGAGCTCTTCCGGGTGGGCAGTGAGAAGACCTGCGGTCAGCGAGCTAACAAGCCCTGGCCCTGCTTCCAGAACCCCAAATGGGGCACATTTCAGACTCCACAAGCCTGAGTCTCCCTTGAGGAGAGCCCTGGAGGTTCCCAGGCCGCGGCCACCCCTGGGACAGCCCCGGACGGTTGCCCGCATTTGCCTGGATTCCTGGCAGAGCTCTGCAGCCATCCGTCCAGAACGCTGCCCGCGCTACCCTTCACCTTCACTGCCCCTTGCGGACAGGGAGGAAGGGAAAGCTAATGGAGCCGCCTGACCCAGAACACAAAGGGGGTTAGAATGTCTCTGCGGAAATCCTTGAGGGCTGGGGGTGAAAGGACTGCACTGTAATTTGCTCCCTCGCTCCCCCCTACTCCCCCCCCCCACCACCACCTCACCCCACGGCTCCTGGTTAACCCACAGCCTATCAGCATGGATCCCCTTCCCCCGTACCCATGTGTAGACCTCATGTCTGAGCAGGCAAACTCACTTATTAACATTGGTTGTATGTAATAGCATGTCAGGAGCTAGGCAGGGCGCTATAGATAGGGAATCTCATTTAATTCTCCCCAAATCCAATGAGGTATGCACCTTTATTATACCCATTTTAGAGATGCTCAAAACATATTTTGTCATGAGTTGTATTAGAGTAGAACTAGAACTGATCCTATCAGATCTCTCTCTCTCTCCAGAGACATATATGTACGTGAAAAATTACATAGGTATCCATCTTGTTACCTAATATCTGGGGTTAGGGACAGTGTTGCATTTTTTTTTTAAATCTCTAGATGTGATAGATAATATTCTATAGATTTTATAGATTAACTACAACGGAGGCCCAGAGTTGTTGAGTGATTTGAACAAAGTCACACCGCAAGCTAATAAAAAGCACTGGATCCGGAATTCCTGCCTGGGACCCAGCTTGCAGAGGGCTCTCTGTGGGATGGGGGGCATTAGCTCTGGCTCTCAGATGAACCAATGAAAGAACAAGAATAAATGGCCAAGGGAAGAGTGAGCCGTTTATGAATCAGCTGGCTTCGGACCATCCCAGTCAGATCTGGTAACCAAGGCCATCCACCGAGCTTCTAAGTGATGTAACTTTAACTTCCTGGTTCCCTCTAGTCCAGGTCAGTGGCCAGAAGGATCCCACTGACCTGTTGCCATTAATGTCTCTCCTCTGGACCCCATTCTCCCGTTGAGGGAATTCTAGGATGGTATTTACTACCTCTTCAAAAGAATCCAAGGGAAACAAAACACACAATAATTCAAAAGAGTAAAGGCCTTTTTTATCTTTTTCTCCCACTCCACCAGCCACCAGTAGCATTCTCTAGAGGACACACATCCCACCCCCCTCCCCACTTCTATCCCAGCTCAGAAGCTCTCCTAGGAGAAGGTTCTCTATGACTCAGATGGCTTCCCCCCAGGGCTTTACAAGAGCAAGCATGAGGAAGAGTGGGTGTGGTAATGCAGTAACAGATACAGCTTGGGGTGGGTGAGAATTTCCTTCCCTGGAGATATGAATGGATTGCCCTCCTGGGAGCTCAGAAGTGGGGAGGAAACTCGGGTTGGGGAGGGAGGCTGTGGGGAGAGGGAAGACCAGAGGCCCAAATCAAGTGCCCCCCCCCCCCAATCCTTCCCCATGCCAGCTGTGGGCAGGCTTGTAACCTTGGTACTCACATCTGCCTCGTTCCAGAGTCCTGGAATGCAGAAGGACTCGAGCAGGTCACTGCCACACAGCAGCAAGATCCGAAGCTCTGAGGAGGGGGACAGAGTTTGCAAAGGGAGCATGTGGAGACCTGGGAAGCATGCACCCCTCAGCCTTCCTCCCCAATGCACCCAGACGTCTCCCCCCGGGGGCTGCCAGCCCCCCCTGCGCCATTGTGTGTGCTGAGCAGAAGCCTGTGCTGGCCTCTCCCTCCACCCGCTCACAGACCACCCCTGTGTCCTGCGGGGGGCCTTACTTCGGGGAGGGCCTGGTTTGCTGGGTCCTGAGGAGTGTCTGGGGACGGGGGTCTTGCCGAAATCTGGATGGTCCGGCACTCTAAGGCCTCAGGGTCTCTCTCTGTTGCTTCACATCAAACTCAAGTGTCAGTGGCATTGGCTTCCCTGCTGCTGTGCCTTGTCTGGGGTTTTCTCCCGTCACAAATGGAGGGGCACTGAGTGTGCCTGGGGCAGTAGCTGAGCTCCTCAGATGTCCTCTCCTCTCCTCCGCTAAGGGCTTGAGACGCGGTGCCCAGAACCCCTCATCTGCCTCCCGGGCACACGGGGCCCCGCGTGTCGGTTGCTTTCCTTCCCTCGTTAAGCGCGCTCCGGATTGGCCCAGGGAGGCCCATCGTGGTTTAAAACAAGCAGCAGGCTGACTCGCTCATGAGAACCCGGGGTTCTTGGAGCCGCTGGGGAGAGATCTCCCTCCGCCTGGGGTGGAATGCAGTGGTGTGTGTAGTTTGGAGCCATCCCGGGCCCCGCTGCCAAGAGGCTGTGGCTGTGGGCTTCTTGTCTGAAACAGGGAGCCTGCCTGGCTCTGAGCCTACCAGCGGGCCTGCTACCCCGGCCCTGAGGCTGAGGTGGCCTTGGACCCCATAGCTAGCTACGGGCCCGAAAGGGACTTTCAGATCGTGAGTCGGTCCCTGCTGAAGGAGCTCCCGGTGGCTCAGAGGAAGGCTGCTGGGGCCGACAAGGGACAGGGCAGCATCTCATCGACCATCCCCATGGAGCCCTGGGGGCTTAACTCCTAAATATTCCTCCTGTCCTTCCCTTTCTTTCCCCTTCCCACCCCCACTCTCCCTTTCCCTCTCCTCCCGGTGCTATAGCCTAAAGATCTGTGTATGTGCAGGGACCTTAATTTACCTTTATGTCCCCAGGGCCAGACAGAGTGACCTGCACACAGTAGGTGTTCACGCAGTAGGTGCTCGGGACATATGACTAAGTGAACCGCAGACCAGCTGACGCCAGAGGCCATGCAGGCAGGCTGTCTAAGAGCCTCCGGGCAGTCTGGGCTGGCCAGGCTGGCCATCATGGCCTTTGCCCTTATATCTTGGGAGCCTGGGACACTGTCGCCCTAGTCAGCCATGCCTCCCTTCCTCCATGTTATGCCATGGGATTGCTGGCCCCACGCCCCACCCGTGGAGAGGAACCAGCCTCGGTGTGGCTCCGAGGAGCCAGGCCAGGGTCACTCCTGGGAGCCTGTTGTTCCCGGTCCCCCTCCAGGAGCCAGAGGGTCAGGTCAGTTCTCTGTCGAAAGGCTGAGGCTCACGCTGCAGGCGCCTGAAAGCTCAGAGAGGTGGCCGAGCCCCGGGGAGGTGCTGGCCCTCAGCTCGCTCTCCCTCCGCTCTCCCTCCATGGTTCAAACCTGGCGGCGTCTGGAGAGGTTTTTAGTTGTCAAGACTGGGGAGAGGGTGTGCTGCTGGCATCCTCGGTGCAGAGAGAGGGCAGGGATGCTACTGGACATCCTACTCTGCTTGCGGCAGCCCCCACCAGAACCTCTGCTCTATAACCATGGAAATGAATCTCTTTTCTTACCCCCAGCCACAGCCTTGCCTTCCCACTCCCGTATAATGCTGGGTTATTGTTTTGTTGAAAGCCAGAGCACCGAGAGTTAGAGTAAGGTCTCCACCTTCTCTTGCAGGACCAGAGCGGATGTGGAATTATCACAGACCCCAGGCCCTCACAGGGCTTGGAAATTTCATGTGTGGCCACTAGAGGGCAGCAGGGGCTTCTCCCAGTTTAATGCCTGAGACAGGAGGCATTTATAGACCTCAAAGCCTTTGGTCCGGGGTCTCGCTCTTCCCACCTCCCCCTACGGGGGCAGTCAGCTGGTTAAGAACATGGAGCCAAAATGCTAACCGAGCTAGGAGAAAAATGGCTTTTTCCTTCCCTTGCAGCGTGCAAGGGGATTGCAAAAAGGAGAACGTGTGTGAGCCAGAGGGCTTCACAGCACAGAGGTCCTGGGAGGCAGAGATCCAGGGCCCACAGCCAGAGCCCGCGCTCTCCAGGCACCTTCCCCACCCAGGAATCTGTGCTATGTGAGGCCCAGGCCCCTCGGCCCTTCCCAGCTCCCGCCGCACACAGAGGCAGCCGCCACCTGTGCCAGGCCGGGCATCCATCCTGACCCCCGTGGCCGCCCAGCTTTCCTTCCTCGAAGGAAGAGTAAGATGGGGCCACGACTGCCCTCCCCTGGCTGCAGTGAGCCCTGCGCAAGCCCCCACTGGCTTTGCCTGTCTGCAGGAGGGAGCCCGGCTGGTCACGAAACTTCCCAAAAACTAGCTCCTGGCCGGTGGGGAACCTTGGGGAAGGGGGTGCAGGGCTTTCGCTCCCATCCTGGCCTTTGGGTCTGGGGGGCTGTGGAAACTAGAGGCTTTGGGGCACTCCCAGAAAGCCAGGTACCACTTCCTGGGACCTTCAGACAGGCCCGTGCCAGGAAGTAAAGAATATTAAAATATGGTAAGCTAATTAGGAAGTGAGGAGTTGTCAGGACTCATTACTTCTGTTTTTAACACAATTTATTTAACTGTTACTTGATATAATTTAATTTTTTTTGTATTGGCTGCATGTAACAACCGCTTCACAGAATTCCTGGAAACCTTGCAAACGGTTCTAGCAAACCAGTGAGAGCTGAGCCCAGGGCACTTCAGATCAGAGGACAGGACCCAGAAAAGCCCTCAAATGATGTCACTGCTGCCGGGCCTCCTGGGAGGACCTGGTGTTCAAGTGCGGGAGGCCGTGACCTTCAGCCCCAGACAGAGGACTGCCGGGAGGCGGCACCTCAGTGTCTTTGCAGCTGGACCTTTGAGACTGAGCGCGTCTGCTGGACACCAGGCTGCCCCTCAGCCTAGAGATCCTGGCATCCCGCTGTCCCTGACCCTCTTTGTCACCTGGGACCTGAACTGCTTCGGCTACATTCTGGAGCCTGTCTGTCTGCTCTGTGTCCCCCCCATCTCTCCCATCCACTCTGGAACCCTGGAAAGACAGCAGCTTCCTGGTTTGCTCCCCGGTCGGCCAGCACTCGGTTCCCTCCCCGGGGCAGGCTGGCTCCTTTCCACCTGGCAGCTCCGGGTCCCCGCCCTCCACCTGCTCTGGCCTTGAGCCTCCATGGCCCCCGCATGGACGGTAGATGCCTTAGCCTCAGCCCAAGGCTGCAGGGAGGCTGTGGGGCGGCTTCCGGCTCCCTCTCTACCCCTCCTCATCCAAAGGTCTTCTGCCTCCTGTGCAGGGTAGTGGGCAGGTCTCTCGGGCTGGCACGGAAGCTCGACTCCCAGTCTTCAGATGAGAGAGAGGAGGCGCCAAAGGGAAATTGCCCAGGGCTCAGGCTTCCCGCCTGGGAACTGGCATGAGTGCCGTTAGGAGGTGAACGGGGGTATCACTGAGATTGGGGTCTTCGCTGGGGACTCTTCTGAGAGTAGACCCAGTAGCAACCCTGGCCCAGGTTTTCAAGCCCCTCCCCGCCCCCACTTTGCCCGTGGTGGAGGCAGGCCCCCCCCCCCCCGTGCACCCCCCTGCGTTCCCATCCCCACTCACCAATCTCCTCGTACCGCATCACCGTGCCCAGGTTGGCGTTCTCATCTAGGAGGAGAGGGGAAGCATCAGGGCCCGACTTCCTGGGACCCTGGAGCCTGGGCTCCTTGGAAGGAGTACATGGGAAGAGGTGAAGGCTGGGGAGGGGGTGCTTGCCTCCCTGCACAGGGGCCATCTTTGTAGAGTGAATGGACAGCACAGTCCAGCCCAAAACAGAGAGGGCAGACGTCACATTGCTGGGGTGGTCAGGATTAGCCTCACTGGGGAGCCAGTGACGAACGCACACACTCATGCTGAGTGCCTTCTGTTTGTTTCTGTATTTTGGGGAAGACAATGTCCTCACACCGAGGGAGGCAGCTCTGAGTCACATGGAGGTGGCCTTCTCTCCTTGTGGGTTCCGTGGCTCAAAGGGCCAGCAAAACAGCCTTGGCGGTGTTTCGGGCGGCAGAATGCAGCCAGAGCCCGAGGCAGGTGTGAGGGACAGAGCCTTGGGTGCGTGTGCGTGTGCATGTGCGTGTGCAAGGCCCGCATAAGAGCACGGTGACACAAAGCCACGGAGAGGCCACTCTGTCCCCTGCCTCCCTTCCTCCTTGGCTATCCCTGTTCGCTCCTTCCAGAGACGCCTGGATTGGAGGATCTCAGAAATGGCAGGCGCCAGCCCCAGAGCATCAAAGGGAAGAGGCCTGGACCTTCGGCTCCGCTGCAGAGTGGAGCTGGGGGCCCGGATGGTCCCATCCCCCCATGCTGGGCCCATGGGGAGCAGCCCAGTCAGAGGGACCTGGGAAAGTGTGTGTGTTCTTCACTGGCAGCCAGGGGGACAGGCAGGCCTGACCTGGAGGGACCTGAGGGGGCTGCTGGGCCCCCCTGAAAACTCCTAGGCATGTAGACACATCCTGGGGGATGGGAATGGGCACATCACTGGGAGGTGGGGGGTCTCCCAGGCAGCCCAGGCCCTGCGGGTCATGCCCTCTGCCTCCCATAACAGCTCCACCAGCACCACCGGTAATCTCTGTTTTCTGGAAACGATTGCTCTGTGAATGGTCATCCCATAGCAGGTGCCGGATGGGGTGCAGGCAGGAGGAGGGGTGTCTTGCTGAATGAATGAAGGGAAAGAAAAGAGGTCAGGCTGGGAGAGAAGGTCCGTGCTCCTTACCCACAAAGGTGAAGCGCTCCACGGGTGGGCGGACACAGCAGATCCGGCTTAGGCTTTCCCCCACCTTCCCCAAGATCTTGGCTGTAGGAGAGAGCAAGACACACAGGGACAGGGAGAGAGCCACTCACAACAGGCACTCAGTGAGCCCAGCATCGGGCTCCATAAACAATGGGGAGCCCGGGGGTGGGGGGTGGGGGGAGCCCGTGGGCAATGGAAGGAGGGTAGAGAGAAAGAACAGAATTATGACAGCAAGGATTTCTTCTCATTCACAGTCCTAGACCCAAGCATTTCAAGCTACGGACTGGAGTCTATTCTCTGGTCATGTTTATTACACGGTTGAAAAATTGGAAAATAGAGAAGAGGAAGACATAGGAACAAGAAAATAAATAATATACCAATATGTTAATGGTGGTGACCATCATTGATGGATTGGTATATTATTTCTTTTCTTCCGTTTTTCAAATATGTATCATGCAGCTATGTCTGTGTAACATCGGGTAGATTACACCCTGTGTTTAAAGGGCATGTTGGCTGTTTGATTATTATTATTTTTTAATATCATGAGCTTTTACCCACTGCTGAACACTGACACCCAGGTCCAGGCAGCCCGGGCCTGGGGCAGAGGATTCACTTGCAATAATTCCCGCTGGTCATTCCTTCCCATGCAGACGGCCCTTAGGACAGTCAGACGCCCTCCTCTGGCCAAGAGGTGTCTGGTGTTCAATCGTCTCTCTGGGCTCTGACCCAGGCTTTGTTTCTGAGACCCCACAGGTGGCTGTGTGTGAACTATGGAATTTTTTCCTGTGTACAGCAGACTAATGACATAATCGCTCTAGGCTGGAAAAGTAATACCAGGATCTGCCTCTGGCAATTGGCCTGGAAGGAAATATTAGAAGGAGCATAGACCTTGGGATCAGAGAGTCCTGAATCTGAATTCTGGCTCTCCTGCTTTTCTCTCTGCTGTGTGTTCAGAGGCAAACCATGTCTTCTCTGAATCTCCCGTCAACGGGAACGTCCTGTCACTGCATTCGATGAGGACCCGGAAAAAGCACTGAGCCTCGGTGCGGACACACAGTGCTAGGTGTTGGGTGGGTGTGGGGGTGCCCCCTATCTCCCTGTCACTGAAGAGGCGGGTAAGAGGGTGGGGTTCTGGAGGCAGACGGCCTGGGTTTGACTCCTGGTCCTGCTGCTTCCTCACTGTTTGACTTGGGCAAAGTTCGCACCCCCCTTGGAAGAGGCAGAGGACCGTGCTCCCTTTTGTATCTTTCATTGCCACTGAGCAGTTTATATTTATATTTTTATAACTTATATTTATATACAGTAGAAGAATGCACACCCTCGCCCCTGCATCTCTCTGTCTCTAATCCTGACCGTTCCTCTCTGATCCTCTATGTTAAGGGTTGTCGATATGGAGACCAGAGCTCCAGCATCACCTTGTTAATTCCTGACTTTTACTTGTGGTAAATAAATAATAATAAAAAACATAAAGCACACACACACAAAAAAGCAAACTCTCCCCATCTCAGACATACTGATTCAAACCTGGGCGGCACCAAGCCACCTGGCTTTTAGCAAGCGCTCTCGGTGATTCTGGCGTGTGAGGACCACTGTCCGCCAGCGTCCCCTACCTGCAGTGGGCTTGGCGGGCACGTTGCTGTTCTGGTAAATCGGCTGGGTGTTCTCGTTCTGGGGCTGTCCAATCACGGGAGTCATGGAGGGGGTGTTGACGTTGGAGAGGATGCAGCCTGTCACCCGCTGGGGGAAGAGAGAAGTTCAGAGTTGGTGGCATCCGCCGAGTGACTGATGGAAAGCGTTTCTGATCGTCTCCAAACGCACGTGTGCTGTCCAACGGGGAGTGGTGTTGCCCAGACCTAGGTTCAAGGTTGAGCTCTGCCCCGTTCTGTCTGTGTGACCTCAGATAGTGGCTTAGCTTCTCTTGGACCTCAGCTCAGGGGCCGAACACAGAGAGGCAGCGTTTCCAGGTTGTGCGGGGAGTGTCCGAGGGAGGGTATGCCAGGTGTCTGTGGGTGTCTGGCACGGGGCAGGAACCTGGTACACGCAGCCCGCGCTGGAACCTCTGGGCAACATGCATACCTGCCCTCGCTGCCCGCTTCGTGGGGCTCAAATGAGGTCATGCCTGCGCCAGGGCCGCGTGAGCCTGGGAAAGGTCATGTGGACACCAGGCATCATCACCATCTGCTGCCTCTCCAGGCCCGAAATGCCAGGGGCAGGGCCAAGCCGAGTGGTGCCAGGCAGAGCGGGAAGCGTTGGTGTTGCGGGAGGGCGGGGCGGGTTCTGGGCAGAGGCGGCCAGTGTGAAGCCCCATTCCAGAGCCCAGCAGACACGCTGTGTGCATTCAGCATTGCCCTCTGCTGTCCTGCGCTGCTTCTCTCTAGACCAGTGGTCGGCAAACTCATGAGTCCACGGAGCCAAATATCAACAGGACAGCGATGGAAATTTCTTTGGAGAGCCACATTTTTAAAACTTAAACTTCTTCTAATGCCACTTCTTCAAAACAGACTCGCCCGGGCCGTGGTGTTTTGTGGAAGAGCCACAGTCGAGGGGCCAAAGAGCCGCATGTGGCTCGTGAGCCACAGTTTGCTGACCACTGCTCTAGAGCTTCAGAAAACAAAGCATATACCCAGCATTCATCACAGCTGACCCAGGAGGAAGGGGACCACTGGGTCCCAAACAGGTGGGGCAGGAGCACCTGGCTGCTGGTCCCTCCTTCCCAGAGGCCCTCCCTTCTCCTGCCTTTCTCTGCCTGGTCTCCTCCTCGCCTCGCTTTCTGAAGTCGTCTGCCTGTGGTCTTCACCCATCTTAAACTTGCCCCCAGGTCAGATCCAGCAAGGGGAGCAGGGCAGGCACAGTCCCCGGGGCTGCTCTGGGGGCCTCACCCACCGCCCGCCCTCCCGTGTGCTGCTCGGGGCCTGGTTGGTGGGAAACCAGAGCCCAAACCAGGTCAGGAGGCCAGCAGCACCCTTCCCACAGCCTGCCTGGCTCTGTGGTCCCCCAGCCCTCGGCGCGGCCGGCTCACCTTCATGAGGTCGCGATGGTGCTCCAGCACGCTGCAGGTCGTCTGCCAGGTGTCCTGATAGCACTCCCACGGGTCCACCCTGGCACAATGGGGGGGAAAAGGGGGTGTTTCCCTTGGAGTCCGGCCTCTCCCTCTTTTCTTATCGGTTCCCTCCAAAGGCCAGTGCTCAGGGCACTGAGTGGACCTGGTCATGCTGTGTAGTTAGAGCTCAAAGCAGATAGATACATGGGCTTGAAACGCCTCCCTGAGCCTCAGTTTCCCCCCTGCGAAAGGAGGCCATGTGGGCTGACACACAGAGACGCTGACACTAGTCTGCTCAGGCGGAACCCAGGCCCAGAACTGGGCGCTGCAGGGCCTGGGGCAGCTGTGTGATCGCTCCGGGCGCTCACTGTCTGTAAAGTGGGACTGGCAGCAGTAACCCTCTAGTGGGGAGATGAGAAGGGCGTGATGAGCGTGGGATGTGAAGTGCCCAGATGGGTGTCTGGCTTGTACCCTGACCTGCACAATGGGAATTCTCCTGGGGCTTTAGAGGGTAGAAAGCCAAGCCCTCACCTTATGGTGGCCGCAGCTAGCTGAGTTGGGGGGTCTGCCCTGTCTGCCTCCCTGTGCAGAGGGGTGCCGTGTGGGCACAGAGGTGGGCCTGGCTGTCAGACTGGCCGGGCCAAGCCTTCCTGCACACCAGGATGAGAGTGAGCAGGGCTCCAGGCCCGACTGATGCATCATTTGGCCTTAATGACACGGTCAATGCGGTGCTATTATAGCTTGGGATGTTTCTCAGCAGTTGAGCATTCCCTGCCCACTTCCCGCCATGCACACACACCTAACATTTTCTCAATCTCTATAACTAAAGACTCAGTCAGCCTGTCCTCCTATCTGCCCCCCGCCCCATCCCTTCCCAGCCCTCCCCTGAGATGCACAGACACTGGATGGATCTAGCTCAGCAGACTCTCCATGTCCAGGGGCCCTGCTGCCCCCAGCCCCACCTCTAGAGCTAGCTCTGAGCCTCAGCTCAGAATTCTCACTTCCCCAGGGCCTGGAGCAAGGCAGGTTGGGAGTTGTCAATCGACATTTAGTGAGTGAATGAGGAATATATGTTTATAATCTTCTAATCCCGTCTGAGGAGAGCAGCCTGCTGCCCAGTATTCCCCCCACTGGACCCCGTTTCCCCCGGCAGGAGATGAGTTACAAGGGTAAGAGGCTGTGTTTTTATTCTTGACTTGACCTCAGGCGTGCTGTTCGCTCTCGGGCTCCTTGGCGTCTCTGGCCTCATCTGAGACAAGGCACCGATCTCTCTGCCTATCCTCTTCCTGGGGGAGGAGGAGGTCTACCGAGAGCATGTGCTCTCCCACAGGTCACTGTGCACGATGGGCAAAGATGATACTTCATCGTCACTGTCACCTCCCTTCACGGCTCTCATTCTGGCCCACCCATCTTCGCCACTAAGGCTCTGCGCTCCTCCTCCTGAGGCCGGCCTTCCCTCCTCTTCCTCCTTTCCAGGGAACCTCTAGGACAGGTGCTGCTGACGTTTCCATGGGGGGAATGACAGTGCAAATAGCGGGCCATTATTTATTTATTTTTTTTAGAAACGTCATCCACTCATGCAAATTACAGCTGTAGGAAGTTGGGAGTGCAGTCAGCATAATTAGCAGAAGGTTGCTTTAATTACATGGCAGGCTCAGAGGATGACGGCTCTGCCATCTTAGTGGAACGTCCCAGGGAAAGGGAGCAAACACTCACCTCACACACACACACACACACACACACACACACACACACACACACACCCGTCTCTGTCCCACCGTCAACCTGGGGCTCCAGAGACCACAGTTGGGAAAAGGGAAATAGCCAAGGCCTGGCAGCTCACCTGGGAAGTGGGTGGGGATAAAAGTAGGGAAGCATTTTGGGTTTCCTGGCCATGCCTCACCCCAAACCCAGTGATGTTTTTGGAAGCTTCAAGAATATTCCTGGATCCAAAGGTGTCAGAGCAGATGAGACACTAGAAGCGCCCTCTTTGATTTCATGGTTAAAAGACACATGGTTAAAAGTGTAAGTTCTCAGTTGGCCACCCCTGCAGGTCTACAGAACTATTGCTCTATTGCTGGCTCAGGGCTGTGATGAAACAAACAACAGGCCCAACATGGAGTCACTTGTGCTAAGCTCACCTCACCAAACCAGGACAGCATACCTAGCTTAACAGCAATCTCAGCCTCTCCTCGGATTGTTATCTTAACCAGTCAGTCTAGAATTTTCTGGTCAGCTCAAGAGAGGTATTTCACCCAATGGCCTCCTCCTGCCCCCAGATAGGTTACCTAAGCCCAAAACAATCCACTCTCTCTCCCCTTCTGCTTATAAAAGCCTCCCATGTTGTGTAACTCCTCGGAGCTCCTTTTTATTGCTAGATGGGATATTGCTTGACTCATGAATCTTTGAATAAAGTCAATTTTACCTTTAAATCTTTTCAGTTGGCCCGGCCGGCCTGGCTCATTGGCTGAGTATCAAGTTATGAACCAGGAGGTCACGGTTCAATTCCCAATCAGGGCTTGATTTTATATATATAAAATTTTATATATATTAGAGATCCAGTACATGAATTCATGCATGGGTGGGGTCTGGCCAGCCTGGCCAGGGGGAGGCAACATGGGCAGTTTGCCGGCCTCCCTGCTGGTTGAACTCCTGGTCGAGGGGACAATTTGCATATTGGCCTTTTATTTTATAGGATATACACTGAGTGCCAGATTATTATGTGTTCAGAGATCATAATAATATGGCCACTCAGGGTATATATACTCAGCTGAATTTCGTATTTAGCAGGGTTACTATCTCCCCTGGCCTCCCGACCCCTGCCCAGACCCATCCTCTTTCTCCACCCACCCCTGTGAGTCCCAGGGCCCCCCGCCTCCGGCATCAGCACCCCAGCCCTACCTGATCCAGTCGGAGTTCTGGACAGCCAGCTGACACATGATGAGACGATGCCGGCTCGACACAAGGCCCTGGGAAGCAACAGAGCAGTCATGGGGACCTGTGTCTGCTCCCGACCCTCCCGAGACACCATCGGGACAGCCCATTCCAAAAGTGCAGCCATTTTTCGGGGGTGGCAGGGAATGGGGGTGTAACCCCTTTACTTGTCCATCAGACACAGACAGGCATGGAGGGGCAGAAGGGAAAGAAGAAGAGTGAAGGGCAGGTGGAGGAGACCACCCCAAACAGGGCCCATAGGTGAGCCCCCACCTCTCGGGGCAGCCATGTGCCCAGCACAGAGATGAGACTCAGGTGCCGCCTGGTCTCCTGGCTCAGGCTGCACTCAGGGGACCTCCTCTGGGGCCCACCAGGTTGCACGGGGTGCAAGGGGAGTGGCTCCTAGATCGTCTGGGACATGTGGCAGGGATAGAAGGGTGGGAAAGTGAATGCGTAAAATCAGATTATAAAAGGTGTAAGTCTTTTTTTCCTCCTAAAATCCCAGGAAGGACTTGCCTCGCCCATAACCAGCCACTGATTTGGCATCCATGCCAAGTCACAGCTGGCCCTCCGCGGGTGGGACTGCTTCTCCTCTAATGAGTCTGGACTGAGCCTGGCACTGCCAGCAGCTGCCTGGTCATGGGCAGCTGTTCCAGCTGCTGCCCAGCACCGGTCCCTGAGGTCTGGCGGGTCCAGAGATGCGAAGTGGGATGCCTGCTACCAGGCATTTTGCTTTGGCAGGAATCACAGCAGAAATGGCAGTGGGACAGTTTAATACCAGAGGAGGCGTCAGGTGCGGGGGGGGTGGGGGGGGTGGAGAAAAGGGGCAAAGGCAGAGCGCACCTGTTTTCCGTAGGAGTCGTGGACCGGAGAGACAATCCCGCCGATCACGATAAACCTCCCGGTTTTGTGCAGATAATCTCTGGCTCTTTCTAATTGAGAGAAGAAAGCCGCACATTATACAGAGGAAAGGGGTGGATTAACGGCGATCATTGAAATCAATACATCCCGCTCGAGAAGGCTTATTTCTGAACTTTCTTGCCATTCAGATAGAAAAGTGCCAACTTTCAAAGCACAGGTTGAGGATTCACAAGGTTAGGGAGCCAGGTCTCAGCCCTCGAGGCAAAAGGATTTCGAGCTCCAGGGGATTAGTCCAGTTTTAAAGGGCCACCACTCGATGAGCCGGTGTGGTTTAGGGGGATTTGAAACAAGCCACTCCCTGACAGCCACTGGAGCAACAGACTGAACCGTGCTCCTCGGATCACGTGCAGAAATTCTGAAGCGCAGGAGTGATTTTTTTTTAAAAAGCAGCAGCCACAGCCTTCTTATATGAGGAAAGGTGAGCTGGTCGCCTCACCTAGTCACTCCGAAGAGAAAACCCACCAAAACAAATTTACAGAGCCTCCTGCATAATTAGGGGGGATTAACAGACCGGTCAGAACCCCATCATCACAGACAGTTGAGGAGCATTCAGCCAGTTGTTGGTTGTTGTTGTTTTTTTCCTTAGGAAGGAATTTGTGATGTTACTTTTTTCAAATTGGCCAGCCACACCCGATTTTCTTTCCATGAGAAAAATCCAGTAAACTAGGGAGGAGATGGAAATTCTGGTCCTCTTATTTCTAAGGGGGTTCGCTCTACAAAGCTAACGGGGCCTGGGCTTGTGTCGCTGAGGAAACAAGGCTTGGATCTGTTTTCCAGGTGAGGGATCCTGTGAGTGAGCCTGGGGAGCAAGCCTTGTTATGTAGTTTAAAAGCAAGGTGCCAGACCGAAACCGATTTGGCTCAGTGGTAGAGTGTCGGTCTGAGGACTGAAAGGTCCCGGGTTCGATTCCGGTCAAGGGCATGTACGCTGGTTGTGGGCACATCCCCGGTGGGGGGTGTGCAGGAGGCGGCTGGTCGATGTTTCTCTCTCATGGACGTTTCTGGCTCTCTATCTCTCTCCCTTCCTCTCTGTAAAAAATCAATAAAATATATTTTTAAAAATAAAAAATAAATAAAAGCAAGGTGCCAGGGTGACCCTGCTGGCTCTCTTAACATTTAAAAAAAATTCTCATCACGTTTCTTTTAATGTCAAGTCTCTCAGAGTTGCATCTTTAAATATAACAAATAGACTTTATTTTTAGCACAATTTTAAATTTATAAAATATGTGAGCAAATAGTCTATAGAGTTCTATATACTCGGCCCCTTACCTTATCTCCTCCCCCACTCCAGGCACACACGCCATTTCCCCTATGTTATTAGTACTGCCTTGCATGACCGCGGTCCCTTTGTTACCCTGTATGGTTCATTCTGACACATTATTATCTCTAGGCCACAGGTTTACTCTTTGCGCTGTAGAGTTCGATGGTCCCAAAGACCCCCTCCTTGGGTTCCTCTAACTCGCTTGAGTGGCTCACAGAACTGGAGAAACCCGTTTATTCACTAGATTATGAACTTATTACAAAGGGTTTTAAGTGTAAGAATCAACAGCCAGATGAAGAGACACGTAGGTTGAGGTCCCAAACAAAGGGACTTCCATCCTTGTTGAGTGTGGGCCCCACAACCTGGAAGAAGAGAGGAAATTTCGTCCTTTCCCTCAATAAAAACTCAGAAAAGTAGGGATAGAGGGACCCTTCCTCAGCGTGGCAAAGAACACCCATAAAAACCCACAGCAAACATCATACTTTAAAGAGAAAGACTAAATGCTTTCTTCCTAAGATCAGGATCTAGGCAGGGATGTCTGCTCTCATCATAGCTGTTCAGTACAGCACCTGAAGTTCTAGTCAGCTCAAGAAAGCAAGAAAAGGAAATTTTAAAAAACTAGAGAACTGAAAGGAAAAGGAAAACTGTATTTGCAAATGGCATGAAAATTTACTTATAAATCCCAAGAAATCTACAAGGAAGCTCCTAGAGCTAATAAATGAGTTCAGTAAGTTCATAAGATACAAGATCAATCTAAGAAAAATAATTGCAAAACTTGTATATTAAAAAATACAGAATGCTGGTGACAATAAATCGAAGATCTAAATAAATATAGGGATTATTGTGCTTATGGGTTAGAAGACTCAACATTGTAAAGACAGCAATTCTCCCCAAATGGGCATATAAATTTAATGCATTTCCTATCTAAATGTCAGAAAGACTTTTGGGTGTAAAATAATTCTAAAGTTTATATGGAAAGGTAAAGGAACTAAAGTAGTTAAAACCTTTTCTTTGGGGGGGGGGGAAGAAGAAAGTAAGAAAAAATCTATCCAAATTTTAAAGCTTATTATATACCTACTCATAGCCCTGTTTACAAATCTGTGCACCAGTAGCTCGTTGCTGCTCTCCTGTAGCTCTCCACCACCCGCTTGTAGTTCGCTGCCCCACCCTCCTGCAGATCCGTGATCTGGTCTTTACGTTACGCAGTTGGTCATTACAATGTATAATTAGCATATTTCTCTCTTATTATATAGGATAGTAATCAAGACTCTCAGAAATTATCAGAGAGATAGACACATAGATCAATGAAATACAATAGTCTAGAAATAACTCCACACCAATATGACCAACTGAATTTTGACAACGGTGCAAAAACAATTTGGTGAAGGAAGTAATGATATGTGCAACAATTGGGATGAATCTCCAGTTCATTATGTTGAGTAAAAAACAGCCAATCTCAAAAGGTTGCGTATGTATGACTCCATTTATAAGACATTCATTTATACAGATTAGTGGCTGCCAAGAGCTAGGGACGGGTGTGGGGGCAGGGAAGGGAGATGGGTGTGGCTATAAGGTGGATGAGGGCTTCTCTCTGTACCCTTTTTGCAACTTCCCATGAATCTATGATGATTTTAAAGTAAAACAGGTTTTAAAGTTTATAGGAAACCACGACACACTACGATTCTAAGGTGGCAGTGTGCAAATCCAGGCAAATGGCCAGCAAACTGGTGGACGTGGATGCTTCTGGAACTTTTTCTCTGATTATCCCTTTCCATTGTTGCTGCTGTCCGGACTCCAAGATTTTGAGTTGTTGTGGCTTGAGAGGTGTTGTCCAAAGCAGTGCCTCTCAAATTTCAATGAGCATGTGTACATTTTCTGGGATCTTATGACAATGTTGACTCTAACCGTGTGGGCGGGGCCTAAGATCTGGGCCAAGTTAGGGAGAGGTGACAGAGGCCGACTCTTTCAAGTGCAGAGTCAGACCCTGTTTTCCTGTAAAATTATGCTATTTTGTTCAACATAGATTTTTTTTGGGGGGGTATGAATTTTGATTTTTAAAAGTATTATTTATCTTGATGACCGAGTTTCGGGGTGCCTCCTTGAATTTTGCAGTGGGGGGCGCCGGCCTCCTTGACCGCCCCCTCCCCCTGGCCTTTGCATTAGATTCAGCATTTCTTAGCAAGCTCCCACATGAGTCCGATACTGCAGGCCTATCGGCTATATTTTGAATAACAAGGGACTGAAGACAGATGGGGCAGCCCCTGCAATGTCAGGGTACCCTCCACAGAAGCTCTCTCTTCCACGCCACCACCTCCACTTCGCATGACAAGGGCATCTCAGGATATTGGCAGGTGGCCTACTGGCAAGGCTATCGCTACAGCCCTGGAATTTAATTTCATGCCAGGCTTCCCAAGATGTGGTCTATTTTTGTCCATCAGCTCTGCCCCAGGGACAGAGCCAAATCGCTCTATCATTTCACACTCCAGTCCATTCGTTCTCCCTCGCTGCTCCCGTTCTAATGGAGGAGGAGCCCGAAGTGGCCAGCAGCATTGCTGTGTCCTGTACTCAATACCTGGAGGATCCACTGTGTCTCCTCCATTCCCTGCTACTTCCCTTCCTGACAGCCTGGGCTGGACCCACCAGTGAAGGTGGACATAACGCAGATGGTTTGTCCATTAGTAAATAACACATGAGACAGACATGCCTCATCTGCCTCCGGGGGGCTCTGTGAACCCACTGCTGTATGTCATCTCCTCCCCTCTTCCAGGGAGTAAATGGAGGAAACACTGGAGTCAGGGCATCGATACTTACTCAATTTCTCCTTTCCAGCTGACATTAGAAAGGATCCCTTCTGAGCTGCATTCATAGCTGGAGCTGCCTGAATGCTCCTTGTCGGAGAATTTCATAAAGGTTTGCTCAGAGTTGTAAACATTCTGAATATTAGAAAGATCAAGCCCTAGGTAATAGAGGAAGAAACTGGAGGGGTTTGAAAAAAAAAAAAAAAAAGCCTCCCTAAGGCATGCCACTTTGACATGGATTATGTTTGAGTTGAAGGCAACTGAGACCCTATGACAAGCATGTCAAACTCGCAGCCCGCAGGCCACATACCTCGTTTCTTTGGCCCGTGTTAGCCTTTGAGTTTGACATGCTTGCCCTATGAGCTCACAAACATTCAAGGAGTGTTTATTAGGTTCCAGACTCTGTGCCAGGTGCCGCAGAGGACGTAGATAAGAAAAGACACAACCCCCACCTCCGAGGAGCTTAGGTGTGCAATGCAGGGACACAGCACACTCTCCCCCGATAATCGATACCAAAATCAATCATCGATGAACAGCAGAGACATGAAGTCTTCTAAGACTTCAGGGGAGAGAGTGATCCCAATGGAAAGGGGTATCTGGGAAAGCTTGAGGCTTGAACTGGGTCTTGAAAACAGAGAACAGAAAGTGTATGAACCATGCATTTTTATTTCCTGCTCTCTGAGGCGATGACCTCTGGGGCTCTGCTGACCCCAGAGGGCCCCCCTCCCAGGGTTAGACAATTCCTAGAGATAATGAACAACTTACACTAGAACCCACCTTTCAAATGCAAACTCACCCAATCAGTGCCATCCCAGCTCCCTCCTCCAACCACTGCCCTGTCTGCTCTCACACTCAGGGTCACACTGTCCCCTTGCCTTAATCACTTCAGGGCCAGGTACCAGACAACTAGGGATAGTTCTGATGTCACAGCATCTGCTGAAATTACCCAAACC